CTTCAGTTTCGTTTCGAAGATATTTTCCAGCGTGTCCGTAACATTTTACATAAAGGCCCGTCTTGGTTGCTGATATATGTACATAATAACATGCTCAAGCGAGGATTACTTTGTGTCACTGGGGTATATCGCGTATAATTTAAAATTGAAAGAGACTCGACGATAATCGATGCTTATTTTATTAGATGCGACAGCAAAGCGTTTACCGTGGCTTCGAAATTTATAGTTAATACAGCGAAATATTTTTAGCGAACCATAATTCGCTACGTTAGCGAAAATTTTTTTTCAGTGTCGTTTCGGAGATATTTTCCAGCGTGTCCGTAACATTTTACGTAAAGACTCGTCTTGGTTGCTGATATACACAACATGCTCAAGCGAGGATACTTTGCGTCACTGGGGTCTATCGCGTATAATTTAAAATTGAAAGAGACTCGACGATAATCGATGCTTATTTTAGTAGATGCGACAGCAAAGCGTTTACCGTGGCTTCGAAATTTATAGTTAATGCAGCGAAATATTTTTACCACAATTCGCTACGGTAGCGAAGATTGTTTTCTTCGGTGTCGTTTCGGAGATATTTTCCAGCGTGTCCGTAACATTTTACGTAAAGGCCCGTCTTGGTTGCTGATATACTCGTATGTACATAACGTGCTCAAGCGAGGATTACTTTGTGTCACTGGGATCTGTCGCAGATAATTTAAAATTGAAAAAGACTCGAGGATAATCGATACTACGGCACGGAACGTGATCGACGACTTTCATGCCCATAAAGGGCTCACGCATAAGGCATGCGCGCCTGCCAGCAGCAGCTGCGACAAGTGGCGGGGCCCTTACCGGAAGCCGAGCGCGGATCGTTACGCACGGTTGTTCGTTTAATAAATAGAAAATGTATCTGGCGACCGCGCGCAAAACGGACCGCAGGAAAAAAAAACTGGCATGAGGATTTTTCAAGTAAATGTCCTTAGATGGGGAGAAAGCGCGTTTTACGCGCACGCGTTTGGCGCGAACGGATGTGTGCGCGAAGCGTCCGGTCGCCGCTGACGCGCGAAAGTCTCGCCAAATTTGTAGCCACGGTGACTCGCAAGATGCTGCGAGGTCGATTAGACGCTCGTCGCCTTTTTCAGTCATGAGTATCCGCCAGTGCTTTGCGTGTCAACGAGTAACGATCGATGTAACATTTTTGTGGTTAAAGTGAAATCTCGCATACCATTTTTATCGGTGCAACAGTTTCGTGCTTAAATCATATCTCGCGTACAATTTTACGCGAGAGGGTGCATTTTTCAGGTAAACTGTTAAGCTGTAGTGCGATAAAAATATAAATATCGGGGCTGTAATATAAAAGTTATGCTCTGAGAATTGCATTTGCCACGAAACAAGCAGATTCCAGATTGTGCGAAAATTACTGAATGTACACACGAAAGCTTTCAAGCGGAGAACCTTTCGGGATACTTCAGGTTCCGAAATGTTAAGATTCTGAGAAGCTTATGAATAATCTAATATCTCGGAATTGTAAGACTGTGAAGCTTCGAACGTATCGTTAGTTATGACTCGTCTAATTATAATATAATCGTCTCCGGCGATGAATGAAACGTCGAGGAAAGGTGTCTGTGGCCGCTGAATTGAGATTTAATCGAGGTGTACCGAGCAGAAAATACCCCGCGGCATCACCGTGGGGGAAAGTGCCAAGTTCCTAAGGCAGTTTATTTTCTGCCTATGTCTTACTATTTTGTTATCGCATTGACCTG